CATGTTTTTTGTATACTATTTTCTGGTCGAAGGATCCATTTTCACAATAGACATTTATATACCGTTCGATAGCCCTTTGAAAGAGCTACATTTTGCCCTATTTCTATCTGAAAAAGGAAAAACTTCGCTGGCTGTATGCCTACTGTGTGTCTGCGACTGTGAGCGCGATCTCGAAACACGAGGAATATCTACTTAAGAGATAATAATGCAACAAAATTTGTTTAGCAGGTTAACCCAATGCCCATATCATTTTCACCGGACCAAACTGGCGCTGCACCTTTCGCCAACAATCTTCGCTCATTCTGACTGACGATATCGCAATCTGAGAAATGCGACTGCAGACTCTGCTAGAATAATCACTAATGTTGTCGGAATGCAAGTTCAGAATATCACTCCACTGTTTCGAACTAGTCTGATCGGAAGGTAGATTGTAAAACGCAGTTTTCTTACGACCTCGATCCATGTCTCCCTGTTTTTTTGGAGCATCCTGGAACGCAACAAGTTATTGGCATGATTTACACTAAAAATTCAAACGCATATAGAGCTGTAAATCTATAAATCTTTTTGGTACTTACACAGCAAACCAGCAGTTGCGGACAATAACAAAATGAACTACACCTGAAAGGCTAATATAACTTCGAAAATCTACTCTGACTCAGATTTTCGTGTCTATGCAGAAAGACTGCGTGCTGTGTAAAAAGTTAGAATGAAATTCAAGTAAAAGCAATACTACATGACAGGGCAATAAAAGAACAAATTGATTTATCCTGATACTGTCAGATGCTTTGATAAGAGGAAAAAGTGTGTATAACTATGAAATAGTACATTACAGAACAGAAAAAAAAACTACTGTATTGTAGTAAAACGTCAGAAGCCTATGAGAAAAGCATAGAAAATCGTTGAAGACCAAGATAAAGTCATTTCCATGCATCACATGCAATAAAAACTAGACAAAATATCGGAAGTATCGATAATAGTGAAAAAGAAGCTAAACTTTGCCTGAGGTTTTCTCGAAAACTCTTTAAAATCTGTTCAAAATCCTCTTTTAGACATTCAAAAACCATTGGGTCTGGTCAGCTCTTCAAACTCTATCGATAACCATATCTTCAAATTCCATCACATGCTTTTAAAGTGCTGAAAAAGGAACTAAAATATAAATTTTAGTCGGTAGGTTTTTGAAAAACCTCTAGAAAACCATTTTTATGCAAGATCTGGAACTCACCAACTGTCCAGATATGTTGAGTTTTTCGAGCTCTATGCAACCATGCCCTTGGAAATGTTTCAGCTAGCTTGTGAACGCGGAGAGTGCAGTTTTAAAAAAATTTCAAATTTAAAAGTTAGAATAAAAATTTCAGATTATGAGCTGGAGAATCCGACTTTTTTTTAAAATGTAGCCCACTCAATTCTGAATAGAACCGCGAATTTGAAATATTTTTACAGACAAGTGTTTCTTTAAAAGAAATTATTTTCTGTAAATGGATGTGTGAAAAACCATGATTTTTCATACATATGAAAAGATGACACATAGAGAAGGAAGCGAAAAGACCAAACATATTTGGTAGACAGAAATAGAAAAATCCAAACATATTTGACATGTATGAGAAGAAACGAATAAAGCAGAATGAAAGAAAAATACTGATTGAACGAGAGGGGAACTGACAAGAACACATATTTAAAAAACCGAATAGAGATGTACCAAGTACCACTTAATAACCTAGTGGATGACATATTGCAACGAGAAAAGACACAGTGAATGGACACGGTAGCTGATATCATATGAAAAGAGACTATGAAGAACATACGAGAAAAGAGCGTAGGAATGAAAAACAGACACGAAATATAGTGAGTAGAACATGTGATTAGAGGACGTAGAGAATATATGAGAACAAGAAAAGACGCCGAACATAGTGAACGATGAGAGATAAGAGAGGGCACAGAGAATGAGATACGGGTATCTAAAAATAACAATAAGTAGCCGCTACAGAATTGATCGAAATCTTTATACTTCAAATGTGATGTGATATCTTTCATATCTTATATCACAAGTTTTCTTCAGACACCTAAAAAATGTTTCCGGATAAACTCAAATATCTTGAGGGTGGGCTCAAACAGTTTTTGGGTGGGCTTAGCCCACCCCAGTCCACCTGTGGCTACGCCACTAGCAAGAGGGATCAAATGTCAACTTCTGTATCAGCTCAAATGAATATCAACAGTCATAGAATAAACTCTTTCTTCCGTATGTTTATATCATGTAGGTCATATTCAATGAAATTATGATACTGTTTAAAATTTCATTTCTTTTTGTTAGTGTATTTTCAAAAGGTGAGTAGATCAAACAATTAATCACTTGTCTGTTCGTCCTTTCCCTGATTTCTGTTCTTTTTCTTCCAAAGGAGAAAAGTAAATGATAAGAACGGAACAATCTTTATTCTGTTCTACAGCCTTTGGTAATAAAATATGTGATAAAATATTCTCTCTTTTATTCGTTGGATAACATGAGTGCAGCAGCACGTGGTACAGCTGTCAGTTTACCATCGAAAACTAAACCAGAACAGAGAAAATTAGCATTAGTGATCGGTATTAGTCAGTATGCAGAGGACGAATTAAAAAATCCAGAAAATGATGCAAATGACATTACAACGGCATTAGAAAAAGTAACAAAAGGTCTAAATTTAAAATGTGAGGAAATGGATATGTTAAAATAATTAGAAGGTATAGCGGTAGGAATAATAAAGTAAAATAATTTGTATAAGACCGCAACAAAATACATATTAAGAATTTTAACTAAATTCAATAATTTTATTTGTCGATTTCGAGCTTTC